GCAAATTAAACATGCCTCCCCAGATCATCCTCATTTCTCCCTCCCTATTTAACTCGGGACTGGCCTGAGTTTTAAGGGGGTACTTCCAGATTCATCCACCATCCGCCATGACAATAAATAGTTTTGGAACCAAGGACTTCCTCATGTTATTGAGACCTGCTGCTGCCAAAGCCTCAGGCCACTGGAACCATAGACATTCCTACTGCATGTAGGACCCGCTGCAGCTTGGAAACCCCCAGGGACTCCACCGCTGCGGCCTCTAATTTTTCCCCATACACATACATATAACCCAGATAATAATAAAGAAAATATATGTAAAGAAAAAGATAAGAAAGCAACTGAACACAATCCATAAATACTCTGCAAGACAGTCTTAACAAAGAATCATGTAGATAATATTGCCCTTGTATAGATCTTTTAAATATTGTTCTGATTGTTAACTGATACTGTAGAAGGATGATGTACATTGTGGATAGCAGTGTTCCTTACTCAGGGGGATCCTCAGAAGTAAAATGGAGGAAAAAATCTAGGTGAAGGGCAAAAAGCAGTAGCCTACATACTTATTCTCTCCCTTCTCATGACTGTGTAAACTAAGAAAGTCCATTGAAATCAGTAAGAGAGAATTTCTGAGCCAAATATAAAGGAAGGCCTCTCTGAATAACAGATATATCAACAATTTTAAAAGGCTGGAATGCTGGACATCTGTATTTTATGTTCTAAAAATGAAACCACTGATAAGTCAGAGTACTATACCTAGTAGTGTTTCTTGTCATAAATGAAGAAGAAACTTAAAAAACCCAACTTTATAAGTTAAAAAACTTCCAAAATGAATTAATGGCCACCAAGTCTGTTCTATAAAATAGAATTGAGAGAAAAATTATCTGTAAAAGCACAACAGCATGAGTTAGTTTCTGCAGCCAACTTGATACATCCCAATGTCACATTAGAGTCTCAATTACGAGATTACCCCCATCAGATTAGCCTGTGGCTGTTTTGTGTGTGTGTGTGTGTGTGTGTGTGTGTTGTTTATTTGAGTGATTGTCTTAATTGATCATTGAGGTGGTAGGGCACAAAGTATAAACATGCAGACCTGCTCTGTATGAGAAAATTAAATGTAATCACTGTGAGACAGTGATTAAATTACTAAGCTGATTTGTAATCTGGTTTCACTCCAGTTCTTTCTTGAGATACTGCCCTAATTTTCCTGTAGGTACATTGTTGACCTGAACATGTAAGTCAGATAGCCACTTCCTGTTCCTAAGTTGCTTCTTGTAAGTGTATTTTATCAGACAAATCATTAACCAAGTAGACCAATAGTTAAAGTAGAAATAAAAATACAGCTTGTGTACCTTGGCAAAGATCAAAAAAATGACTGAAATTAATAGATACCTTTCAAAGATAACGGCATATTAATGTCAGTTCCATTTTCAAAAGACACTGGCTAGGAAATTGCATCAAAAAGTAAGAGTATATGTTTGTTGTATGTTATCATTAAAGACAGGTGGGACC